CAGCTATTAAATGGCAGAGGCTAGATTTGAACCCAGCCAAATCCACTCTTAACCATGATGTTAAATATATTTTTTCACAATAATGGCTTTCAAACTTTAGCCTACGTAAGACTCATCCAAGGAGCTTGTTTAAATGCAGAACCCTGTGCCCTTCTTTCAGAGAGTTTGATTCAATAAGTTTGGGTTATTCTAGGAATCTGCACTTTTTAACAAGCACCCCAACATAATTGTTGCAGATCCATGAATCACATTTTTAAAGAGAATAATATATAGAACATCAATTTTTTAAACTAAATTTTACAGTGATATATAATATATATGGACAAGTGCACACATCATAAGTGTATATATAGACCAGTGAATTTCCTGAAAGTGAATACACTTATGTAACTCCACTCATATCAAGATATAGAATATTACCAGTGCCCCAGAAGCCTCCCTCATGCTCTTTCCCAACCACTACACCCCCAAAGGTAACTGCTTACCTGACTTCTGTCACCGTCAGTTGTATAAGTGGAACCATACAGTATGTACTCGGGCTTCTTTAGCTCAACATTTTGTTTGTGTGACTCATCCATGTTGTAGGATCTGATATTAGTTCATGTATTTTCTTTGCACTATAATATTCCATTGTATAATTAAACTATAATTTCTCCATTCTGCTGTTGATGACCATTTGGGTTGCTTTCACTTTGGGGCTATTATGAATGGTGCAACTATGAACATTTTTATCTATGTCTTTTGATGCACTTATGTACACATTTCTGCAGACTATATGTACACTTCTATTAGAAATGGAATTGCTGGGTCCTCGGGATGTGTATGTGAAGCTGGACGAGATATTGCCATAAGTTTCCAAAGTGGCTTGCCAATTTATAGTCCCATCATCAGCATATAGAAGTTTTTATGGTTCCATACCCTTGCTAGTACTTGGTGGTGTCAGCTCTATAGAACATTTTAAATGACTTTACAGCTGCTGATCCTATGTGAACAACAGTTTTATGTAATCAATCCTCATTATTGTATATATAGGTTATCATCTTTCACTATTTTAACAGTACTATAATGAACATTATTGTAGCTGAATCTTTGTACACTTATTTCCTCAAACTAAATTCCTGGAAATAAATTTGTTGGATCAAAAATTATACACATTTTTAAGTCTTTTGCTTCTGATACAAGATCTCCCACAGACCTACCACAAAGCTTGTACCAATTTACCCCCTACTAGCAGTGCATCCAAATGTCTGTTTACCCTAATCCTCAGTATTAGTTGTGTTTTTAACCTTTGCTAAAATTGATAGNTATTCATTTGCTAAAGGTTTATTTTGCTGCTTTTGTGCCAGACACTATGCTGTGTGCTAGAGAAAGATCTAACTATTTTGCTATGTATGAGGAAATCAAAAATGAGTGTGTATCCCACCTTATTCCAGAAAGGATTTGAACAGCTTAGAAAATTGGAAAAGATACAGTTATTGGCCTCAAAATCTCAAAATAGTTCTGATCTCCAGAACTGCAAACTCTGCAGGTATTCTCTGCATTCATGCGCTAAGCATTTATAGACTTGCTGTGTATTAAATGCTGTACTAAGCAATTTTCTAATGCTGACAGAAGAAGGAAAGTACAAGGGGCTTTGTTCATCTCAGATAAATTCTGGATATCACTTCAGATAGGAAAAGACCCCAGTGATATTCTTTATCATCTGTGAATGAAGAAAATCCCTCAATTGTGGATCTTACTATAAGGTGTTAAATACCTTTTGAAGCTTTTCTTCTTGATGAGAAAACTTTTAATGAGGGCCTTATGTCTGCAGCATGATTGGTAGAAAAATCTGACTATTAAAACTGAAGCTTATGAAAACATGAATCTTGATGGTTTCCTGAATATTTCATTTCCCAAGAGTAATAGCAAACTAGTTAAGGAATCAATTTAGTCACAGCCTTAATTCAAGTATAATACAATAGTGTTTAATTTTAAAATACTTGTTGTAATTTTTTACTAGATTCCCCACAGATGAAAACATCAAAAGAAAATGGGTATTAGCAATGAAAAGACTTGATGTGAATTCTGCAGGTGTTTGGGAGCCTAAGAAAGGAGATGTGTTGTGTTCAAGGCACTTTAAGAAGACAGATTTTGACAAAAGTGCCCCAAATATTAAACTGAAACCTGGAGTCATACCTTCTATCTTTGATTTCCCGACTCACTTACAGGTTTGTTTATGAGATACTTACCATCATTACTCGTTCTTTATGGTACACCAACCACCCTTGCTAACATTTTTTATTGTTTCCTTATTCATTTAAAGTCCTTTCTTTGTTTTTAAATTTGTAAATGACTGCTTCAGCTTTTGTAATACATAGGAGTATTTTACCAGTATCCTCTCAGAAATATGTGTACATTATTAAGGTTTGGTGAAGTGGACTGACCTTATGAGTTGGTATAACTCAAGACATGTATCTAAAAAATGGAGGAACATAAGAGGGTTGAAATGAAGTTCCAAGTTGGCAGTCCTCCTCACGCTGGAGCAAAAGTGAAGAGCAGAGCCTCTAACATAACCAAAGTGCACTTTTAGAGCCACATACATTCAAGCTTAGAGCCTAGAAAGGACTGAAAGGAAGAAAACCAAAAGAGATAAGAACAGGAAAAGGAAAGGATAGATCAGAAAAAGAAAATAAAAGGATTATAGAACTAAACTCTAGTTGAATTACATGGTTTTTTTCCCCAGTGATTAGTGCTATAAATTGGCTGCCTCACCCTCAGTACCTCTCTTGACTTCATTTACCTGAAGTATATTTGCTTCCAGAAACTATAGACTGACTGATTCCAATGTGGAATATTCAGGGAGAGCGTGTGGGTTCCCACAATAGTAATGAACCTCCATTGAAAGGTATCTCCTTCCTGACAGCTGGAAACAAGGGAAGTAGTGAAGTGTACCTGCTCCCCATATAGTCTTGGTCACTTTCTGAAGTTGTTCCCATTGCAGTACCTGAGTTATCAAGTAGAGACTGCCTCACTTTCTTCCATATTAATAAGTACACAGTATCTAGTGCCATTTACCCTAAAGGGTTTTTTCCCTGTAGTAAGGTGTAATCTATCTGTAATGTTAAGAGGACCTTAAGAATATGGGCCTAGTAAATAAAATAAACCATAAGGTACTAACTTTCAAAAACTATTTCCTAATAAGAAAAATTTTCATTATAGGGGATTTTCATTACAAGGAAAAAGAAAATCAAAATTAACAATAATCACATAATTCAGAGATAATATTGTTAACACTCTGATGTGTGTGTATCTTTCCAGTCATATGTATGTGTATGTTTGTATATAAATTCATATATAGGTATTTATATAGTCTTACAAAAATAGAATTATACTGTTATATATATATATATATATATACACACATATATATATATATATATATATATATATATATATATATATATATATATATATNCTACTTGCGCACTGGATGCCATCTTCTCTTTGGCTACTCAAGGACAGTGCTCCCACTGTTTTCCCTCTCCCTCCTGCATTTCAAAATGTTCTCACTTTATTGGGTCAGTTCCAAGAATATACAAATGTTGCTGTAATATATCCCATTTTTAAAGGGAAAAAAAATCCCATGACCCCACATCTTCCAGTTAACCTCCTGTTTTTGCTTTTACAGCAAAACTCCAAAAATTGTCTATAACGGCTATTTCCTGTTGCACTATTCCCATTCTCTCATGAATCCATCCAATCAGGTTTTGTCCTAATATCTCCACAGAAACTTCTCAAGAATACCCGTTAACTCCTCCTTGTCAAATTTAAAGGTCAATTTTTAGTTCTTATCTTACTCAAAAAGCAGCATTTGATTTTGTTGATTACTTCCTCTTAAATACTCTTCACTTGCACTCTGGTATTTCAGAAGTCAGAGTGGGAGAACAAAAAAGCATTTGGTACTCAGAGCCCAGTATCTCAGTGCTATGAAACACAGGTACAATATCTGTGTGGTTTCTTGGGAGTTGAAGAGAGGGCCAAGATGTTGAATTCAATTTTAGATCTCAAGTTTGAAAGAGTAACAAAACATCTCTGTGGAAATGAAATCATAAGAATAGTATTCAATTCTTTATACAACACCTGGTGAATGGCCAACTTTAAAAAAGCTTCATCGAGTGCAGTGGAGGAATGTGCCCCAAGGCCTACAGAAAGGCTTTAGGTTGTGCTTATAGGACTCATATTTTCTTATGAAACAGGAACTTCTATTTTACATATGGGGCCTTTAAAGGGTAGTTTGCTCAAAACCACTGAGTTATTAAGGAACAGAGCAATTAAGATTTGGAT